TACCATTGATTGAGGATAACTTCATTATGAAGGGTGGGATAATGGAATATTTTGTGAAAAGTGGCCAGGCAAGATATTTTACCGACAGGATGCGAGGGGTGTAGGCTTAGGTTGGATTTCATTGAGGCTATATGGGATTTTAGTTGGCAAATATAAAAGGGACGTAGTTATTCTGTACAAGTTCTAGTGAAGTGATCAAGTTATCGTTGTAAGGATCCCACACAAAAGAGGCATATTCTAGTTCAGATCTTACTAGTGTTTTATATAGCAGTATAGTTTTAGTGCTGATTGGGCTTTTGAAAAGTTATGACTTATGTAGCCTAACATGTGATTGGCATTATTAGTAATGCATTCGGTGTAAGGTGCCCAAGATATGTTCGTTGTGATAAGTTGACCGGGTAGAGTGGGACGTTTAAGTAATATGCTAACGGGGTGTTAGATGATCTTATTACATGCATTGCCTTGCATTTGCAATACATGACATGGCAAATGTTATGACAAGTGTTAGCAATACGGGTTTACCAAAGCCGCATCCTGCATGCAGCCTAAATAGCAGGAATTGCTTTCACAATCGCTGCAGGACAAGGCAGTCATAGTTGTTTGTGTGCACCAAGTGCGACGGTTAGAGCTGCTGCTACTGCTGCTAGTATGTCGCGAGTCGGCTGTCTCCTCGTGGCATCAGATCGTGCTTGCAAGTCATTGATATCGAACTCGTAGAAATATATTCAACGCACGTTCTCATGCACCACAAGGTCTTGGAAATTAATAATGAAGTTTGAATCCTCACTAATTGTTTCTGGGTTCTCAACTGTGGCGTTTTTATTCAGAGCAACAATCCAAAAATATTTTAAATTTGTGTCAGCATGAATTAAGAAAAATTTGTAAGCATCCTTATTACTTGAGGGAAATTAGAAAAGTTGTGGGGCATGAGAATTTATGGCATATAATTTTTTAATCCTCAAAATGAGTGCAAAGATTTTGTTAGCATCTTAATTACTCGAGAAAAATTAATTAGAAAAGTTGTAGGGTGTGACAATTTTTTCTTCTAAATCCTCAAAACACAAGTGGAGGTTTTGTTGCGTGTATTTCAATGGTAGCGACAGTGTCCTGTCTAGGAGAAAGGTGAAGATGACGTATTCTTGCATGGTTTTCTGCGAAGTCCTTACTCTCACTTCCACCTAACAATATTGTTAATCGAAATTGGAAGCCAGGCGATATCGAGACTGAGTGCGCCGGGCGTGCAGGAAATGCCATCGAGTCAGTACAGCCCAGGTAGGGTGGCCCAGGCGTTAAACATATGTTTTAAATGCTTTACTAAACGAAAAATATGACAGCCGACTGTGAGCGTCCCGCAGCGCCGGGTACGAGCGATACGAACTATCACCATCATCACGTGATGACGTCATGGATTCCAAAAAGATGACGTCATAAATTTTGGCGTGACCTTGTGTGACGTAGCGGCAGTGTACAAGAACAGAAAGTGCCCGGACCGAAGTGTGGCAGCTTGGGCTAGTTGGTATGGCACACGGAGGAAGGAAAGGTTCCTTCCTCCGTGTGCTTCCTTCGTGGTATGGCGTGACGATAGTTATAGCGCGAGAACAAAACGACGACACAGAGACAAGAAGGACAAGAAGACGCTCGTGTCCTTCTTGTCTCTGTGTCGTCGTTTTGTTCTCGCGCTATAACTATCGTTATGCCCGGGCCGAGCTCCGAAAAGTGAAGCCCAAACAGGGTCGATCCGCTTACAGCGCTGCGATCGGTAGTTTGCAATGTGTCATTGTTTTAAAAACTGCGCGTGGCTCCGTCGAAGAGGTCGAGGGGTAGGATGCTCGCTTCCCACTCAAAACACCCAGGTTCGAATTGCAGCTGTGAACGGAAGTTGTTTTTTTTTTTTAGTTTAACTTGTACAGTTGTATTGGTTTGTTTTTGCTTAAAGTTTAGATTCAGTGGCTACATATTACAATTATTCCCGCGAAGTATGAAGTAAAGAAGAACTTCGACAGTGAGCATATTGGCACAGTGTACTTCTACTACACTCTAGTACTGGTATAGTGAACTAGATAGGGGTAGTGGGACGAGCGGAGTGTGAAAGCTAGAAGCGGCGGCAAGGCGAAACACACGGAAATCTTCGTGCGTGGTGTGGTGGCGCTACTGTACCTTTTTCCTGAAGCCTCAGTCCAGCAACGTGCGTTTGACAGCAGGCACTGAAGATTGAAGTTGCTTGTGCGTGGTATTTTTGGGGGTGGTAACGCTGAGTTAGGTAGAAAAACTTCGGCAGAAGAATTATTCTTTTGCGCAAGGTTGTTAAACTGGGTATATAACAGAATGAAACTGGTGCCTTCTGACTACACTGAATGACTGGGGTGGTCGTTTGTACCCTTCACAAGACTTGCAGTACATGGCTGGGCATTATCGCGATTCAGTAGTATCTCAGAGATACCTTGAGTTCCTGCATTGAGATACATTTGAAAAACGTACTTGTATTGCAGTAGTGAAATACTTTTCTTTTGTATCAAATGTATTGATACTGCAAAAGACATGATTATCTCCCAGCTTTTATGTCCAAACTGAGCCGATGTGTATCGAATATCGAAAGAAAAGCTTGTATGCACTTAGCTAGTCAAAAGCGCCCCGCCAGTCGGCGACACATAGAGTTCAGCGAAGAATCCCTCACGCGCACAGAAAGTTCTGTGTGGTTAAAGGTTTGACGGAACTGACGGCAGAATCGAGGAGGCAGTCGACGATCTTGGATCTTGCTCAAGGCCGGTAAAACACGGTCAATCTTATTTTGGGGGACAATTTTGGTATTTAGTAGATTTAACATGAAGTTGTGTTCACCTAAAAGAATAGACAGTCTTTTCTATATTGCCAGTCTGAATTGAAACTGAACCTGCGCTCTGTCTTCTGACTGTCCATTTTATGAGCTGCTGTTACTTTGATGTAATTAGTGTAAACATTCCTAGGGAAACAGATCAATTTTCTGTGTAATAAATAAATAAGAGCAACTCTCATTAGTGGTCTTTGTTACTGAGTAGAGCGATACGGCTTGCTTGCATTTTAATTATCTGCAGTGCATTTTTTTTTTTTGCAAAGTTATCTTCAGAATATCTCGTAATGTCTTCTATAAATATTTCTCAGTACTGGTATTTTTAGGCTTTCGTAACCGACCTCTCGGCCGGTACCCTCTTTTGGTAGTAATAAAGTTTTGATCATCATCAGCAGCACCTGTATTTCGATACTTGTACTTTCAGAATACCTTTAAGAGTGTCTCTGCCCAGCTCTGATTTATGCGCACAGATGCGCTACATTGTCTCGGAGCTACACAGAAACACCATTATTTCGTAATATTGTGGCTCTCGTGAAGAAAAAAGTCCTCTACTCTAATGATATTCTATGCGAAACTCACAAGGAAGAAACAAACACGTGAATAATTTTGTCTGTGCCATCACGCATTTGCGCTTGGACAGAGGGCAAAAAAAAAAAAAAAAAGACGCTCATCCAAATGACCTGAAAGCCTGGGTTTGTGTTCGCACATATAGCTCTTGAAGAGTGTCCTTGTGTAAATTAAAATGGTTTGATCCATTCTTTAATTTGTTTATCTCTCACTGTTCCGTTCTTTTCTTTTTTGGGAGCGCGTAGTCGGCTTAGCAGGGCCGCATTCTGAGTAGCCACGTGCAGTTTCAAAACGTGCAGTTTCTCACTGACAGGCTTTTCCCTAAAAAATCTCACGTCTTCGAGCTTTCAATACAAAACTACTCATTCTCTTTTTGTCGACTCAGTTTACAGTTTAGGCAATCAGGGGTCCAGCATCGGCGTTAAACATATCGCACTCGTCATTTGAAGTGCGGCAAACAAGCGCCCACTGCGGCGCGGCGCTTCAGGATGGATGGATGAATGGAATTAATGTATGGATGTACCCTTTAGATGTGGCGGTAGCTAACGCTACTAAGCCGTAATAGTAAGTGAATCCATAAATTAGATGAACTTGTCTTGTCTCTGTGTCGTCGTTTTGTTCTCGCGCTATAACTATCGTCATGCCATACCAACTAGTCCAAGCTGCCACACTTTATATCCTCCTTGAGGCGAAGCGTTGAGTGAAGGGAGGTTCTTGAATACGGGGGTAAGATCTCTTACTTTTGCGCCTTGAGCTTCGCCGAATGTTTTACAGTTATAAATTTTTCCCCTATAGAAAAAGTTTGTTGTGTGCGTGGACGGTTGGCGCCCGCAAATGACAGGTCAATCAAAGATGCTTAGAAAATCGCAATTTCGGTTTTGGTTTTAATTGCGCGAAGCGTCATCTGCATCCTGCAATGGGTGTCATGGCGACTTCCTGTTTACCTTTTTGGAATATTCTAGGCACTCTACTTTTTGGCTGCGAGGTGGGCAAGTTTCCTTTTGGCGTTGCATAAATCTGTTGCCAGACTTTGGGGTCGTTGTTGCTAGACTGCCGTTAAATTTGGCTGAAAAGTTTTTTTTGTAGTTGTGGCCTTTTTGTAAGAGTTTGGAGCTATTCGCGGTGCATTTTTTGGCAGAAATTTTTTTTCCTGTAGCTGTGGCTTCTCCGTAAGAGTTTGGTTTTAATTAAAGCGGCCTCTTAATTGCGCAGCAGCACCGCGCTTGACTTCTGCTAGGCGCAGTTCATTCCGTAAATAAAACGAATTTTGTAATGCGCGGTTCATTCCGTTAATTAAAACGGAATTAAAACAGCCAGCGTCGCTCATGCACTCGCGAAATGCAGCGCGGATAGCACCAAACTCTTACGGAGAAGCCACAACTACAAGAGAAAAAATTTTCAGCCAAAAAATGCACCGCAGATAGCCCCAAACTCTTACGGAGAAGCCACAACTACAGAAGAAAAATTTTCAACCAAAAATGCACCGCGGATAGCACCAAACTCTTACGAAGAAGCAACAACTACAGGAAAAAACTTTTCCGCCAAATTTAGCAGCAATCTAGCAACAACCACCCTTCCAGTCTGGCAACCACTTATGCAACGCCAAAAGAACCTTGCCGCAAGGCGTGCGTTGAACGTCGAAGCTTCAGCGCTGTTCTTCATTATATTGTGAAATTTATATGGATACATACGTGGCTATCATATTTTGCACCATCCGGAACATCGAGCGTCAATATATGATGTGCGACACTTCGCCTACTGGTCGTCAGAAGGTAAGCAAAACGCCGCTGCATCCTGCACGAACTTGCGCCGCGGTGAGCCTGTTGAAGTGAATATATGTTGCCCTCACGGCTACCGCAGTTGTTGCATTTTATGAATGATGCTTCGCCGCCTGCGCGTTGCACGATTAAGGTCTGGCTCTTTATGTGAAAGAGCGTGAGCTGCGCAAACACGGACCTCAGAGAAACAAACTACGCGCCTCTTCGACGAATGTCCTCACGTCTCGATCGATTCCCGAGAACTAGCGCAACTTTCTGGCTAAAAATTTAAAATCATATTGCAGTGGTTCGCGCGCAGTATCAGACATTGCCTTAGCCCCCCCCCCCCCCCCCCCCCCGCTTTCTTTTCTGTGCGCAGAAAAAAAAAAAAAAGAAAGCCTAATATGCCTTTATTGGAGTGGCCCGTGGTTGCATAAACTGCAGAAAAAGCGAGAGTTGGGCTTGTTGGTTTGCGTTCTGTTTGAAACGGCGCAAAGACTAAACCCAGAGAAGACAGCGCTCGTGTTGTCCAGTCTTCTGTGTGGGTCGTCTTTTTGCTGTTTTAAAGCGAAGTTGCATGAAATGCATCGTTTACATGTTTTCTGCACCGCTCGAAGCCATTGAGGCTTTCGCCACAGCGACAAAAGCGAGCCGGCTTCCCACCGGCTGCTGTCGATACTGTGCTGGCGTCAGCCGTCGGTGTATTCTCGGTGCACTTACAAGCAAACCAGCCTCTGTTTTCGCCACTGTTAGCGGAACTGTGTGTGGACAGCAAATGTAGCCGACCATTTCGAGCACACGTGAACGCGGTGGTTGAAAAAATAGACGCGCAGTCTATTTTCTTTATTTTGCAGGTTCATAAATTTGCGCGTACTCATGCACAGCTCAGCAGGCGGAAAATACGGCGGCATGCTCGTTTATTCACAATGACACGATATGGAAACGAGTTTGTGGGCAATCACTTTACTGCAGTATTCGACTTTCTTCAGTATCGTTGCAAGAATTTTTTTTTTTTTGCTGCCTTAAAAAGCGATTCAATCTTAGCATAGTGGATAAAACCATCATGAATACAATGCTGCATGAATAAGAACTAACAGACGCTAATGCCAAAAAACATCCAAAGGCGTTGTTTGTAGCAATTATCATGTAAATGCGGAGTGAGCAAAAAGACAATTTCCTGTGACATAGAATTACTACAGATAATATCTTTTACACTTTCCTTGCCATTACTGTTTGTTATTATTAATATTGTGTCAATAACAAAAACGTAAGCCCTTAAAATACTTTCCTTAATACTCCACAGATTGTATTGAACTTCTGCTGAATGCTTGAAAAGGAATGGTGCTTTCTCATCCCTCCCACTGGCGTGCACTTTTCTGTAACAATATGCATTGTTTTGAAAGCAAAATGCCAATTCTGCACCCATTCTGCCAAATTTTTCAATTCTACAACATATACAATAGCGTCACACGCCAGCATAGTTGCTAGTAACTGTGTCAAAGAAGCATGGAGGTCGATGACCATGTAGTTTTAAGGAGTGCAAATGTAGAAAAATGTGTAACTTGGGGTGGCACACTGCTTGGTAAACCTTAATGGGAATAGGTTGCAACATCAAAGTCGAAGTGCCAAGTTGTCACACAAACCTTTTCTTCAATTCATTCCTGCCGGAGAGAGCATCTGCATAGAACCACCCGCTCAGCTCAGTTGCCAACAACCCAGACCACAAATATTTTCAAGCTGTGTAGCGTAACATTTCACAATGTAAATCTATTAACCACTCTCCTTTGTACACTGGCATTGAGAGTATAATAAATAATTTATGTTTAGCTCATGCACTTTGGTGAAGCAGGTGAATTAAAATTGCATGCTTGCACTTGTTTAGAAAGGCATACAAGGAAAAATGCTGCTTTTTGTATTTACACAGCTTCCTGCATAGCCACCGATTCACCAAGTTACAGAAGGTTAATTTAGATATATACTGTCATAGTAAAATAAAAGTACATAAACACTGTGGATACACCTTTATTTTTTCTTCTGTTATTTGCAGCTCCTCTAAAGCTGACTCGCATACATCATTTCTTGGGGCCATCTGCTGCTTCAGTTTCTTACACTTGGATCTTCAGCAAATGTCGACATTGCTCTGGATCTTACAGCACCAATTGAGAGCACAGAGTCCACAGGTCTTCCTTTGGCAAGATCCCTTGGATGCCTTATGTAACATAAGCATTGTGAATGCTGACTGAGCATATTGCTTCCTCATCATACTTTTTATAAAGAGCCTTAAAAAAAAAAAAAAAGAGGCGGGGGGGCGATGAATACCCAAAAGGGCGGTGCCACCTTACAAATATTGAGGCATCACTCTCAAAGACAGTACATTTGAAATTCAAAAGACGACAAAAATAGAGCGATTGGGGAATGATTTGTTCCTAGAAGTGATAACCAACCGGTTAAAAAGCAATTTGCCACTTTCAAATAAAACAAACAAACTTTGACTCTTTTATTGTGAAAAATGTGTGGCACATGACAAAGACATGGACAAAGAAAGAGAGAGGATTGTCCCGTCGCATTTCCTATTGTTTTTGTGTGCCATACATTTTCAGGATTTATCACGAATCAAGCCTATATTCATCATCATCATCATTAGCCTGACTACGCCCACTGCAGGACAAAGGCCTCTCCCATGTTCCGCCAGTTAACCCGGTCCTGTGCTTGCTGCTGCCAATTTATACCCGCAAACCTCTTAATCTCGTCTGCCCACCTAACCTTCTGTCTCCCCCTAACCCGCTTCCCTTCTCTGGGAATCCAGTTAGTTACCCTTAATGACTAGCGGTTATCCTGTCTACGCGCTACATGCCCGGCCCATGTCCATTTCCTCTTCTTTATATCAACTATGATATCCTTAACCCCTGTTTGTTCCCTAATCCACTCTGCTCTCTTCTTGTCTCTTAAAGTTACACCTACCATTTTTCTTTCCATTGCTCGCTGCGTCGCCCTCAATTTAAGCTGAACCTTCTTTGTAAGTCTCCAGGTTTCTGCTCCGTAGCTAAGTACCGGCAAGATACAGCTGTTATATACCTTCCTCTTAAAGGATAGTGGCAATCTACCTGTCATAATTTGAGAGTGCTTGCCGAATGTACTCCACCCCATTCTTATTCTTCTAGTTACTTCAATCTCGTGGTTAGGCTCTGCGGTTATTACCTGCCCTAAGTAGACATAGTCTTTTACAACTTCAAGTGCACTATTACCTATCTCGAAGCGCTGCTCCTTTCCGAGGTTGTTGTACATTACTTTAGTTTTCTGCAGATTAATTTTAAGATTCCACCTTTCTGCTCTCCTTGTCTAACTCCGTAATCATGAGTTGCAATTCGTCCCCCTGAGTTACTCAGCAATGCAATGTCATCGGACGAAGCGCAGGTTACTAAGGTATTCTCCATTGAACTCTTATCCCTAACTGTTCCCACTTCTAGGCTCCTGAAAACCTCCTGTAAGCACGCGGTAAATAGCATTGGGGAGATTGTGTCCCCCTGCCTTACACCCTTCTTGATTGGTATTCTGTTGCTTTCTTTATGAAGCACTATGGTAGCAGTTGATCCCCTGTAGATTTCTTCCAGAATGTTTATATATACTTCATCTACGCCCTGATTCCGCAGTGTCTGCATGACGGCTGATATTTCTACTGAATCAAACGCCTTCTCGTAATCTATGAAGGCTATGTATAGTGGTATAGGTATTCTGAGCATTTCTCTATCACCTGATTGATAGTATGAATGTGGTCAATTGTTGAGTAGCCTGTTCAAAATCCTGCTTGTTCCTTTGGTTGATTGAATTCTAATGTTTTCTTTACTCTGTTAGCAATTACCTTTGTAAATAGCTTGTATACATTAGAGAGCAACCTGATCGGCCTGTAATTCTTCAAGTCCTTGTCATCTCCTTTCTTATGTATTAAGATGATGTTAGCGTTCTTCCAAGACTCTGGTACCCTTCCCGTCAGGAGACACCTCGTAAACAGGGTGGCTAGTTTTTCTAACACAATCTGTCCTCCATCTTTCAGCAGATCTGATGTTACCCGATCCTCACCAGCAGCTTTGCCTCTTTGCATGCTCTCCAAAGCTTTTCTGACTTCTTCTATCATTACTGGTGGGGTGTCATCTGGGTTACTGCTAGTTCTAGTATTAAGGTCGTGGTTGTCTCGGCTACTGTACAGATCTCTGTAAAACTCCTCCGCTATTTTAACTATCCTATCCATATTGGTAGTTATTTTGCCTTCTTTGTCCCTTAGTGCATACATCCGACTTTTGCCTATCCCAAGTTTCCTCTTCACTGCTTTGACGCTTCCTCCGTTTTTCAGAGCATGTTCAATTCTCTCCATGTTATACCTTCTTACATCGCATACTTTACGCCTATTGATCAACTTTAAAAGCTCTGCCAGTTCTATTTTGTCTGTTGTACTTGAAACTTTCATGCTTTGACGCTTCTTAGTTAGGTTCTTCGTTTCCTGGGAAAGCTTGCCAGTGTCCTGTCTAACTACCCTGCCTCCAACTTCCACTGCACACTCTGTAATGATACTCGTTAGATTATCGTTCATTGTATCTACGCTAAGGTTGGTTTCCTCACTAAGAGCCGAGTACCTGTTCTGCAGCAACACTCTGAAGTCCTGTACTTTCCCTCTCAGTGATAGCTCATTGATTGGCTTCTTGCGTATCAGCTTCTGTCGTTCCTTCTTCAAGTCTAGGCGAATTCGAGACCGTACCATTCTATGGTCACTGCATCGTACCTTGCCAACCACTTCCACATCTTGCACGATTTCTGGGTGTGCACTCATTATAAAGTCTATTTCGTTCTTATTTTCGCATTAGGGCTCCTCCATGTCCACTTGCGGTTTTCTCGTTTTCGGTAGAAAGTATTCAAAATCCGCAAATTATTGCGTTCTGCAAATTTTACTAGTAGCTCTCCTCTGGCGTTTCTAGTGCCGATGCCATAATCTCCTACTGCCTGGTCTCCAGCCTGCTTCTTCCCTACCTTTGCATTAAAGTCGCCCATCACTATAGTATATTGTGTTTTTACCCTACTCATTGCCGATTCCACGTCTTCATAGAAGCTTTCAACTGAAGCGTCATCATGGCTGGATGTTGGTGCGTAAGCCTGTACTACCTTCAACTTGTATCTTTTATTCAGTTTAATTACAATACCTACCACCCTTTCATTAATGCTATAGTATTCCTCTATGTTGCCAGCTATGTTTCTGTGAATTAGGAGCCCCACTCCCAGTTCTCTTCTGTCTGCCAAGCCCCGATAGCAAAGGACGTGCCCATTCTGTAGCACAGTATAGGCCTCATCTGTCCTCCTAACCTCACTGAGCCCTATTATATCCCATTTAACACCCTCTAGCTCCTCGAATAGTACAGCTAGACTTCCCTCACTAGATAAGGTTCTAGCGTTAAACGTTGCCAAGTTCAGGTTCCAAAGGCGGCCTGTAGTCCAGAGATTCTTAGCACCCTCTGCTGCGTTGCAGATCTGACCGCCGCCATGGTCAGTTGCTTCGCAGCTGCTGGGAACTGAGGGCCGTGAGTTATTTGACGTATGCATGTGGGAGGTAGTGGCCAGATACTGCACCAGGGTGGCCAATCCTTCTCTGGTGAGGGAGTGCGTTTCCGGCGGTGGTTACCGGTGAGGCCGCACCTCTGGCCTCTTAATGCTGTTCCATCAACACGCGCTTTCTTTTTTTTTCCGGTTGGGAACTGCACGGCACCGGGATTTGAACCACGGACCTCTTGCATGCGAGGCGGATGCTCTAACCACTATGCCATCGCCGCACCCGGATTGTTATGTTCTAAATGTAGGTTTCAGCGGTGTATCAGTCAAGTTTGTGGTTGTTTTTATAAAAATGTTTTAATGAAATAAGATTTCTCCTGATTACCCCCTTAATTAAGTGTCTAGAGAGTACGGAGTTGGGCCTCCGATTAGCCTATGGAGTGCTGTTTATTGATATATTAAGCGGACAAAATTTAAATTAGTTTATGAGGTGATGTTACCAAATTAATCTTTTTTAGTGATTAGGAATAATTTTGGTCACGAAATAGTTCCGGTACTATTACTCCTGTCCTGATGAAACCTGAGCGGCGACAGGTCTACAATTAGGGCTTTGCACTGTATGAGTTAGAAGTTTCCCGGTAGGTTATTAGCAAAGTTAAAAGCAATCGTAAGAGGAAAAAAAAAAAACAAAAAACACGTGGTTCAAGACTTTGATCTGACGGGCGTACCTTCCTCCCAAGCAGTGAGCCACCCTCCTCCTCTGAGCGAGGGAAGACGCGGGCGCCACAGGTTTATTAGCGGTTTTCGTTATATTCTTTCTAACTCTGTATCTTCCTGTTACCTTAAGCTATCAAAATTATTTTTACACGGAAAAAACTGGACTGTTGTGTTCTAAAAGAAGATATTAGCTATTTTTCGGTGGCGTTTGTAGCTCCTTTTGAAAATTTGTTTTAATGAAATGAGGCTTTTGCTGATTACCACCTTAATTAAGGGCCTAGAGTGTATGGAATTGGGCCTTCTGGTAGCCTATGGGGTGCGGTTTATTATTATATTAAGCGGACAAAATTTAAATGCGTTTGCGAGGTGATATTACCAGTTTAATCTTTTTAGTGATTAGGCTTAATTTTGATTGCGGAATAACTCTGGAACTATTCAAACCTAGCCTGATCAAACTTAAGTAGCGTCAAGTCTACCCTAAGGACCTTTCAACTTTATAAGTAAGAAGTTTCCCGGTAGAATATTAACGAAGCTACAAGCGATCGTAAAAAACACGTGGTCTGACTTCTTTTCACAGATTCACACTGTTTTCCGCTCCTAAAATTTAAAATTTTCGTTTGTAATAGCAGTATTTGTAGCGGTTGAACTCCTTGTATCTTCACGAACAAATAGACACCACTCTGATCCTCCTAGAATCAAAATTGCTAAAGTTATAGGCAGATATGTGCAGAGCTCACTAACACGTGCTGCAGACGCGGTCGCTCCCGTGAGTGCAATAATGATGGATGTCCTGTGATTTATGAATAAATGTAAGACTTCTGAAACTTCTACCTCGTGTGTTAGCTCAATGCAGATGCGCCACTGCATGGTGAGCCCTCAGTCCATTTAGCTTTCTTCTACTCGAACTTCTTTTCATTCGAACAAATTTTCAGGCCCCTTCGAGTTCGAATTATCCGGATTCAACTGTACATCGAATTTTTCATATATGTAACTAATTTGCGATCCCGTTCGAGTTCGATATATCCTTGTTCGACTACTAATTATGTAGAGTTGTGCCTCGTACTCCCCCTTCACCAATTCTTCCAGGGATTTGCTTGATAAATACAGTGGACTCTTAGTAAACAGAAATCTATTAATCGTAACTGTTGCTTAAATGGAACAACTGCTTCTGATATAATTGGTTCAATCCCTGCATACTACACCCCAATTCACCTTCTCAGTAAATGGAACTCCTGTTAAACTG